GCGCACAGGTCTTAAGGCTGCAATTGTAGACTTGAACAGCAGGCTCGTTGAGGGACATTGATGTATCTGACCAACTACACCCAATGGATCCCAATGGTGTGCGCACGCGTGTACCAAGTTCAACACCGCTGCTACCCACAGTACCGTATCACTATCGACCGGCAACCGAGGGCCTTTGGCTTCTACGGGTGCTTGTGGTGCAAGCTCACGGGCAGGTTCAGCATTTTGACTGCAGTGATGGCTGAACCCCTGGCGATTTCCGGGTTCAATTTTGGTGGCTTCAATTTGGAATTCTGTCCGAAGCATCGCAGAACCTATCCATATATCGATATGCCACACACACACACACCGTTTTCATTGGTACTCGTACCAGATAAGCAGGCTTGAGCTTCAGGTTCCTTAAATAGTAGGGAAACTTTACTTTACTATGTCTTCCCTGTACTATATAATACTAATACTATGCACCGACCATTCTCAGCATGTGTCAAGACATCAGCTGATTCAGAAGGTTTCTTAAAGCAACTCTTGCTACATTGAGTTGTGTGGCCGCAACCTGAGCTGCCTCAATGGATTTTTGCCGTCTATAACAACTGACGTAATGCAATACAACAACAATGAGAGGTATGGCCCGGTATGGCAAAACTGCTGAAGACTACATGACTCTGGAGAGAGAGTTGACACATCCATAGATATAGGTGCGAGGAACTACATTGGAAGGGATATGAAGAACACACATCGCGCAACCAGGGTACTGTACAGTGTTCATACACAGAAAACTCGACATGTAGTGACCTGAGCTCACACAAAGAATTTCTATACCAGGCGCATCAAGCTTGGTATACAACTTCCAAAATAGCTCTTACGAGATTAGTTTTCGTTTTTGTTGTAGTAATGTTTGCCCTTGCATGCAGCACACCTCCAAAACTATAGATGGGGCAACCTATTGTGCTCACGAGCAATCACTACATGTTTCACTTTACATGTACAGAACAGTATCCAGTACCAGTGATGTTTTGCGCTAGCCGCGTGCACTTGGCAATGAGTGGTACACGGCTCATCTAATTTTGATTCATTTTGACAAAGATGTGTTCTTCATGTTTGCTGAAGCTCTGGGTCCAATTGGGGGGCACCGCAAAAAGTTTTCCATTGCAACGCGTTGGAACGGTTTTTTTTCTTGAAGTGCTCTAAGTACAGGAAGATTTGAGGAAAGAATTCTTGAATCCCACCCCAGGATTCAAGAATTTGTTCTGAAATCTTGAATGTTGAATCCCATTGCAATGCGTTGCGACGGGATTCAGTCACCAGATGCTCTAAGTACTTTTGTGTCAGTGTGGCACAATATTTGTGTGGATGTATGTGCATGTTATATGTATACATATGGCACATATGGTATCCGCCAAATTTGAAATGATGAAACCGCTATCCCTTTACCATGTATAGTATAGTTGAAAGTTTGACTACACTCTATCATTGTATGACATGATTACATATGTGGGGATGCCAGGCTCTTCTAAAGGGTGGCCCCTGGATCCAGAAACTGTTTTGGCAATTGCCACACGTTGCCAGTAGAGAGCTACAATTGGTCTGACATTGACATGGGTCAACTTGCCACTAAGATGCCGCCTCCAAACCGACAATGGGTGTTTCGGCCTCGGGAGCGCAGAGAGAGAGAGAGAGAGAGACACTGAAAGAAGGAAGGAAAGAATGACAGAAAGATATGAAGACGGAAAAATGCATAAGGCTTCTCCAGTGGCGTCTCCTTAAATTTGTCAAGTCGTTCGTTATTTTGCGAGGAATCGTAGAATCTTCAATTTGTGGTGGTTGCTATGTTTTTGGCGCTCAACTCTGGATGCAGTGGCTAGATACAGCAGTCATTTCAGAGATCACTTCGTAGCAGTTGAGCCATTTTGTGTCATAAAGAGTGCTGCATGTACTTGTCGCGTTTTGAGCTTCAAGCCTGCCACAAAACTTCAAATGTTCACTTCGAATTAAGTTTCAAGACTTTGCGCTCGCCACTGGAGCTGAGGCCATCCAGGGCAGGTTCTCAAGCTCCGTTTGGGTTCCTCAGTCATCACCAAACGACACCCCTGACTCTAGATTGTTTTTTTGGCCGCCACTTACAACAAAATTGACCCAATTGATGGTGTGAACATACAGTGTGTGTATATATATATATACACACACATATGCGTGTTGGAGGCTTTGAGGCCATTTCTACAGCTTTGCACCATTGCGGTGCTTCTTTACATGTGCACCCTCAACCATGTTGGTGGGTGAGCGCCTCCCAGGACTCCATCCGATCGGCGGTCACTGTCGACCCTTGGCCTGGAACAAGCTGTCACATGAATTTGCAATTAGCGTTGGTGTCAGCATGTGGTTCATCAACTGTACTGAAAGATGATCTCACCAACCCCCATGCCAGTGCCAAAGCTGGATTTGCTGGCCTAAGTGTATTAATGTGCCTTGCCATGACGCACAGGCCGTTGCTTTTGGAGCCCCATGTTGGAAGATGTCTATTTAGATCCCTTTGTGCGGGTACAGGAACATACGGTGCCCGTCCTTTGAAAAGTTGGTTTGCTTTGATGTGGCACAAGCCTTTGCACGAACTTTACCCTAGCCCCGTCTCCTCAGGCCAATGGGCTATGCAAGTCAAGGCCTGGCTGCATTAGTTCTAATTGCTTCATTCTACTCACTGTTTCATTCATCCTATATATTCATTTGGTTTGGTTGAATTAGGTCAATGAAGTTATATACCATTCGATTTCGAAAAGACGCGTCATTGATAATGAAATTTGGAGTGCTACTTTTGTGCACACCATCCACTGTGCATGATGTTTTGGTATGATGCTTGAAGCAAGCAAACTTGGATGGTTTCCAATCTTGTGGCGTGTGAAGCGCTTTCCGACGCCCAATCATGCCCACACAAGCGCATGCATCATCTCGCAAGTAAGTCACCATTTACCCATTTACCACGGTCTCAGTTTCAGGGCATCAAGCACATCAAGGGCAACCTCAAAGGATGGAGTTTGCAGCTGAGATGTTGCTGAGACTGAGACTCTCACCTGAGAAAATGTTCGACTCCGTCAGAATGGTGGGACAGTGTGAAAAGCCCTTGCGCAAATGAACCTCAGCGACTCAGTGTGACTAGCTCCACTATGGTTTGTTCAGGCGGCGGACCCGTTCCAGAGAGCCTCCTGCGCAGCCAGAGACAAAGCAAAAGAAAAATCATAGCCCTCCTAATAGCGATGCCAGGAGCCCCTAGTAGCGTCCTTGCTCCTAGTAGTAAGGCCAGGAGCCCCTAGTAGCGATGCCCTTGTTCCTACTAGCTTCTTGTTCCTATAAGCTTCTATGTATGTTGGCCCAAATCGTCCACTTTTCGGAACAGCTTCACTGGCTGCACCTTCTGAGGTGGGTCAATGGCACCGGATTGGGGGCAACCTATGGCTACGGCGGTGCTGGCGCTGGCGCTGGCGGTGCCCCGGTCAAAGCACGGGCAACCAACTTGATTTGCCGCAGCAAGATGGGAAGCCCCACACATGTCCAGACGAACAGCTGGCTACAACAGATTGTGGGTTTATGGGATCAAGCGACTCTCCATGTCCGACCAAGGTTTTGGGGCCTTCGGCCAGCCACCCATGTCCCAGCCTCTCAGGTTGGGGAAAGCACCGGATCTCTACGGGGGAACTTCCAATCTTTACACTGATTTTGTCGATGTCAATCCATAAGTACTCACATATATATAATCACATATTTATATACAGTAGTGTATACTGAATATATGTATACACTACTAAAATGAGTTGGAAGGGGCTAGCCAAGCAACTCGGCAATAGCATTCTTTGAAGCTAGAGCCCGATACAGCAATGGTGGACCTGTGCTGTTTGCTGCTACAGGTTGGGGTGAGTTCCTTGGTTGCAACTGGTGATGGGTCTTTGACAAATCTATCAGACAATTAAACAACAAGAAAAACGATCTGCCCCAAGGGTGGGTGACGGTGGGCTACCTGCCTATACAAAAACAATTTCAGCTTGAGAGAAGTTTCACCACGTGGTAGGTAGGTTGGGCATTTGTCATGCCTTCAGAGACCCTTTGCAAGTGCCGGGGTCAAAGGCAGCTTTGACAAATGCAAAAAGGGTTGCCTTCAGGAAGATGCCAATTAACAAAAGATACAGAGATGCCCCATCGCACTTTGGCAGTTCCTCCTGATGAGTCCTGAGATTTGACAGAAAGTACCTGGCAGATCTTGCTGAATGAGTTCCTTGTAAGTGATTGAATTCCAAATGCTGAATGTGTTTCAGCAGTGGGCATGACAAGTTGGCGCCATAGTGAAGGTCCAAGTTTAGTTGTTTCCACAACACGAAGAACTTCAGTATACTTCAGTTACTTCAGTATGTTTGCCACCGCCCATAGCTGCCGGCCTTGCCCCACACGAATTTGCAGCCGGGACAAGACCAGGTTGCAGAGATCAAACAAGACAGGTTTTGCAAGTTGAAAAAGGTCAAGCACACTTATGTATTGTGCTAGGGCAAAGCCTATGGATGGATGGGCACAAAAGTTGAAAAAGATAGTAAGTTCATTGTTGGTCCAAGGCATTCATTTTGCATAGAGCCATTGTGCAGCACTTTAGGATTTTGATAGTGACCTCACTGCGTGCAAATTGAACAGAGCCTTCGAGCTCCACACCTTGCCACATGTTGTGTAGACCGGTTCATTTGTAGCTTGAGAGTGCTTATTTTTCACAATCTCTTCTTTGACATGAACGTCCCTGCGTTTGGTGCTCCTGAACAAGACCGCAACACGAAGCCAACGATTCGATGGATTATTGGGTTCAATCAATCTTAGATGAAATGAAGCCTCATTGACCATTGCAGATGTGACGTCGGATGCAGAGACTGGGGGAGCTCATGTTTATCAAGAAGCCCAGCGTGTACGAACTATGAATGAGACAGCCAAATCAAACTAGCCAGTCACACCAAAGCCACTGAGCCAGACAGTTGAGAGCTGAGATTGATTGCTTACTTTGGTTCTCACCACTTGCGCTATGGATGTCGTCGCTGAGCGGAGTCACTGAGGAGAAAGTGTTGGTTTCCTTCTTGTCCTTGTGTTGACGCAATCCGCTCCTCACGTGTCACGTAGACGTGAAAAATAACACCCACGCAGCGGCCGCATAGGATCCTGGCGCATTGATCCGCCGTGCCATCAACTCAATTCTGTGGGCAGACGGCAGAGTTTTCACCACAGCCACTGAGTAAACGAGTTTGCCGGTTTCCTTCCCAGGCTGTGTTGGTGAGAGGAAGTTCTTTGAGGAGAGATATTGACCAGTACCGACTGTGAGTATGTCACCAAGGTCGCCACCAACTTAGGCTTTGCCGCACGGGATGCCGAGAACTTCTCGTTTTCTTTGCAGAAGTACCTTGGAGAAGAAGTCCGGAATACTGAAAAAAGAGGCCCCAGGTCATTCTGATAGTGTGAGCCAAGAGCTTTTTGAAAGCAGCGGTAGTAGCGATGCCCTTGTTACTAGTAGCTTTGTAGAGTTCCCACATGCCTTAGCATCGTGAAGCGACTAAGGTACTCAACTTGTGAGTCACTGGCTCGCATCACTGATGATGAGGCATTCGAGCTATCACTGCACGGTTGCAAAGCTGACGTTCTTTGGTGGGCTTATATGGGTTCAGGCAGGCGTGTTGTTCCTTAGCGACTGAGGCCATTGGTGTTGGTTCGTGCAGTGAGACACGAGGTGCGTGGTATGCCTCAGCCTTGGGATATCTCGGACTAAAGGCAAAACAGCCACAGGGAGAAAGAGGGAGAGAGAGAGAGAGAGGAAAAAACAACAACTGGCAACAACATGCAGTACATAGTATGACATAGTCATGCTGTGGAAGTTGTGCAAGGGCAAATTGTCCTTCGGTTCTCAATTGCTTTGCAATTCCCAGAACGTTTTGGCTCAGTTTCTTTGCAATTTGCTGACCTTCTGGGCCTAGAGAGCAGTGAGAAGTTCAGCGGCACAGAATGCTGGACGACAACAAGAAGATCGGAATTGGTCTTTGTGGTGTTGGAGTGCTGTGCGTGACCTTGGGCATCTTCTTGCTCTTTGATCGTACGCTCCTTGCTTTGGGGAATGTGGCCTTCCTCTTTGGGTTGGCCCTGCTTCTTGGTCCGACCAAGGCCTTCAAGTTCTTCTTCCGAAAGGACAAGTGGAAGGGCACCACCGGATACTTCCTCGGCATTGCCATCATCATTGTGGGCTGGCCATTCTTCGGGTTCCTCACAGAAATGTATGGGATTTGGAAGCTTTTTGCGGCATTCTTGCCGAACGTCCTAGCTTCACTGAAGATGACCGTGCCCGGTGCAGCTACCGTCCTCAACATGTGGCCGCTTTCGTCGCTGTGCAACTTGATCAATGATCAACGCCGACTGCCAGTGTGAGCCACGAGCCCCAATGGGCCGCGATGAGCCGCGTGCCTTCGAATTTGCTGAGCCGCGGCCCGCCGAAATCGGCAAACCTTGGTGGACTAGGCGGGCAAAGCGTCGACCATTCCTCCTGACAGTATGGCTGGAGTTCAGAAAAAGAAGCACAGCCAAACCACACAGTTGCACACAGAGGGGTCGGGAACATGGCACTGCACATTTGTCAGTGTGAGCTGATTATATTTGACTCTGGGTTTGGCTTTAGGCGATTTGTGGGAGCCTCGGCGTCCTTCTGCACAGACTGCTTACGAGACTGGCTTTTTCTCACGTATGTACATACTGTATATCTTATCTTTTGTTTGGGCGATGAGGAGAAGCCAGTGATGCGGTGTGTAGTGCAGCCACCTTTGCACGAGGCTGGATGCACCACCATTGGTTGAAGCACACCAATGAAAGGGAAGAGACACATTGGGACACACTTGCATCACGCAAAATTACAACTTCTGGATGGCCCTTTGCCCTTGTGCTAGGTGCCCGACGCAGAGGTTTGCAGCGATACCAGTAGCCGACCCACAGAGATTTGTCACTGTCCTCCAGGTAGGGAGAGAAGCTGGCAGCTTCTTGTTCCTAGTAGTAAGGCCAGGAGCTACTAGTAGCATCCTTGCTCCTAGTAGAAATGCCCTTTGCATCCCTTTGCTAGTTACTAGTAGCTAGCTTTTTTGGTGTCAGAATGTGTCATCTGGTTTCATGGTGTGTGTCTTGCTCACGGTTGACACTTCCGACTCTGGCTCTCCATAAAGTGCTCCTCTCTGCTTCTCGGGACTTCGGCGGATTTTGCCGCGCCAGGGTCGGAAGCCGCACACGCCATCCAGGCGCCGAGCTGGTGAGAGTACTCTTCACAACTGGTTCCCAGTATAGAAGTAGTAGATACTCAAAGCGACGGAGAAGAAACACGAAAAGGTTGAAACGACGTTTTTCCTTACTTTCTCCATCTTTCTCCATTGCAGCGACCTTTCAACCATGCTCAGGGCTCCAGCACTCCTCAGAGTCAGGTTACGATCTCCCCACGCACTGGCGCTCAGTGAAACTTCGGTTGAAACAGCCTAAAGATACGGCCAGAAATAATTAGATCATTTAGCCGTTATACAGCTGGCTCCAGTAGGATAAGTGGAATGGGGCAAGCACAGACATACTCTCAGCGCGTGCTTGCCAGTTTGTTGTGCAGCTATCGCAACACCCGCTGAGCCTGCCAATGACTTTACCCATCGCTGGCTGATTTTGATTGGGTCAGCATAAACTATATAATCGAAAACAGATGTTGCTCCGGGCTACCTGGGCGCCGACGCAGCTTGGGCATGGCTCCGTGCCTCCACCCTTCCAGGTCCATTGTGAGGGGTTCATCATTCAAGGTTTTACTTTGCTTAAACTTTCCATAACTTTCCCGAGGCAGGTGGTACATACCAGCACAGAATCACGAGTAGCTTTATTCTTTGGACATGTTCATGTATTTTCTCTCAAAGGCCTGCAGTTACTTGTAGCAAACGAACATGACTTCTGTGAGGAGCAAGCGACAAGGATGTGTTGCATGCCGCTTGCCGTTCAGAACCCTTCCCTCAGCATGTTCTCTTTGGGTTACACTTTGTGATCCTCAAGAAGCGGCTTTGAGGGCAACTGTCATGAGCCTAACTCCACCTATTCTGCTGGCGTGAAGATGGTGATGTACAGTGAGGGCAAGCAAGTCTTGCAGCTGTTACGAGGCACAAGGTGCAAAACCATGCAAAACCATTTCGTCCTGAACAGGCGTTTATTTCCCTCAACAACCACAGCAAACACTGCACAAAACTCGGGTGATATGCCATTCGTGCAGCCTGAGTTCGTGAGGCCGCGGATGGTGTAGTCAAGTGTGCTTTCATGATTTTCATGCGTGTCTGAATTAGCCGATCGACGGATCAAATGGATAACTTCTTTAAATGCCTCCAGACACACTTGGGCCGTTTTGCGCGGCAAGTGCTCCACGATCAAAGTTTGCCCATTTGAGAGTGTGCAAAATGATTCACCCATCCAAGGATTCCACGGTGATAGGGTGTCGATTGTTTGCTGAGGCCCTAGGCAGCTTGGTGTACGCAGCACGTCGAGTGTGAGTAGTAGCACCATGTAGCACCCTCAATCACCTTCACAAGCTTTTAGAAAACGCCACATGCTCCCACAAAGCCACCTCTCGTAGCAACCCCTGACAAGATGAAGCGGGGGATCCAAGCCATCAACAAATGGGCTGTCGCATCATGTTGCATTGTGTATGTTTGCTTTTGTTGTGTCATATCTCAAGGTGCAAACGACTGTTGCCCGCAGCCAAACCTTGCATGGCTAAGGTAGCCTGTGCGAAGATCACATCCAAGTCACCCAAGGCCAAGTCAGTGACTTGTCTTGAACTCCACACCCATGTTCCAATGTTCCAATCAATCAGGGACTGCGAGCGAGGATTTCAGTGTTCGCTTTTTTGCACTGCCGAGTCACCGAGCTGCAAGATGTGTTGCTTGAGGTGAGAAATGTGAAAGGCCTGAAAGGCGATACTCTGGCAAGGCCAGGTCAGCCTTTAGAGGACACTTTGGCGGGTCTACCATGGGTCTACCATGATCCCTCTATGTGCTGGCAGCATTGGAATCAGAGACACACGTCAAGTGCCATAATAGTTCAATCCATGCTCTTTATATCCGTATACATATATATATATCATTTTTATCTATATACTTATAGAACAAGACGACTGAAAGAAGTTGAAACCTGACAAGCACACCGCAGGCTGAAGTTCGTTCAGCACAGGCAGGCAATCAAGGCCAGTATTGATTTCTGTTCTCAGAGGGTGCCGCGGGTCCAACTGAGTTCAAAAACGATCCCGTGACTTGACAGTGCGGACATGCACGATCATGCAGCTGAGGCTGCACAGTCGAGCAAGAGCCAAACACGGGGCGCAAGAAGAGTAGGAGGGAGAGAGTTGCTTCCTCGGTTCCCTCCGCTTCGATTCTTGGCTCAGAGCACTCAGAGTATGGGATATTGACGGCAAACAGGGCAACTGGATTTGATAATGGGCTGCAGTCTGTTTGGCAGACAAGAAGGGAGCCGTTATTCACCCTCAAGGTGCCCACATGAAAAAGCACAAGCACAGTTCAAAGGAGTCTCAAGGGATGCAAACATCATCAAACATCACTCCAAGTGGTTCTATTGGGGCCGGTTTTGCTGCATAAGTGGGAGCAGGATCAAAGGCGTACGGATGGAAGCGTCGTCGGAAGCGCTATTTGCCCTTGTCGCCATCGAAGGGATTGTGGTGCTTTTCTCGCTCAGTGTTTGCTGCCCCTCCTGGACCAGCGTGAAACAGCGATGCCATTCGGCGAAGGCCGGGATGCTGCTTTGATTTGTCAGACATGCGGCCAAAGCAGTCCGAGAAGGGTGAGAGGATAAAAAGATCAAACGGATAGGCATGGCTGCTTGGGTCTCACATGGTTTAGGCATTGGATCTTAATTACAGACAATTCTTTTGTGCAAAGCTGTCGCAAGGCTTATTTGAAGAGCTTTGGCCGTGTGCAACCTGAAGTGGAATCTATTGTTGCACAGACTCGGGCAGAAATGGCTGTGAAAGGGCTTTGTGCTGCAATCATTGTCCTAGCTTGCATCGCAACGACGGACATCGCTACACACAACTTTGCAGAGCCCTTTCAGGTTGAGGTCCTTTTTGTGAGATTTGCCTGGCAAGCGTTGGCATTGGTAGTTCTGCTTGCATTGATTGGGCTGCACCCGGGTCAGACTGTCATGAATGCCTGCTACGGGTTGCTCACAATGTCCCTTCCATGTTTTATCATGGCGGAATTTTGTCCAGCTCCAAGGGTTCCAGTCTCGGTGGCCACTATGTGGCTCCTGCGCTGTTCTTTGTTGCCACTTTGCAACTCTGTCACTGTGGTCCTGCTTTGCAATGCTGCATGTCACGTTTGGGTGGTTCTGGCTGTGGCCCGCGCTTTGGATTTGGATATTGCCATGCAGTTTGCCGACAAGAAGGGCGAAGCGGCCATCATTCTTAGGGCACTAGAAGAGCAGGGTAGGTTGGATCAGATGCGGCACTTCTTGGCCGGATATTTAGAGGCCTCTAGGATCATGGACATTGGGTTGTCTTTGTCTCTTGGCGCCCTGGCCTTCTGGATGAGATCCAGTTTGGTCATGAATGTGACGCAGTTTGTGCAGATGACTGGATTGAAGACGGAAGGTCGAGCGTGCTCATCACTCTTGGCCACCATGTGTGATGCCCACTTTTTCTTAGATGCCAATTTCTCCTTGGAGAATGATGAGCCAAGCCTTGCGGCCATGCTTTTCCACGGAACAAAAAACAAGGGCGCACCTTTCCTTCAATACATCGCCACGGAGGAAGAGCGATTGCATTTTCTCAGCACTGTCAAGCAGACAAACTCGCTGGCAAGTCTGGCCCGTGTGATGCATTTAAGTTTGAGGGATGGTGTGGGCAGCATTTTGCAGGTGGAGATGTTCCATGTGAAGGTCCCAGGAGTGTCAAGCCCACGACACCTTGTTGGCATTCGTGAGTATGGGGACACAGTACCAGAGACACGGAAACAAGGCTCTGGAGGCGCGATGATGAGGAGGCCCAGCTCACCCAGCATGCCCAGTCTCAGCGAGTCCGATGGCAGCAGCGCTTCGGATCTCGAAGCTGCAGAGGATCGCACTGAAGGGCCTTTGATTCTGTTTGATGCAAAGACTTTGGAAGTTTACAGCGCCATTGTCGGCACAGTCGTTGTTAGTTTTGGTGTGTCAGTGGTTCTTTGATGTTCGGGGCGGGCCTCGAAAGCCCTACTAGTAACACATGTTCCATGGCCATTTTTGCTGGATCGATGCTATGCTAGGTGCGTCACGGAGGATCGCAAATAAGATGGATTTTGTGATGACTGAGGAGCTGGGCCATGAGCTGCGTGTCACTCGAGCCCAAGCCTTGTCCGAAAACACGTAGACATACGTAGGCCAAGCCTTGTCCGAATAGACTATGATATACTATGATTATATATAACTGATGGACTTCAAAAGTGCAAAAAAAAAGAAACAGACAATGAAAAGCAGGCTAGCTGATTTAGCTGATGGGTACTTTCGGTCGCTGGTTTTGGACTAAATCACCCCTCACTGAGCCGTCGGAAGATGGTTGAGCACTCTCAACTTTCAGGAGACGACTTTGTTGGACTATGCTGCACCATCCTGCCGACAGGACCTGGCCAATCAATTGGCCAGTGAGATGAGAGTCGTGCTCAACGAAGGCCAAAGCTGCAGGGAAGCCACAGTGACCTTCCGCTTAAATCGGCGGAAGGGTAGCCCGAAGAACTGGACCTTGCGATTGCAGGATCAAGCTGGTCAAGTGAGGCTTGGATTTGAATTGGTCAATGATTTGTGCTGTGCAAACAATGTAGTGGTCGCATTGAGCCCGAACATGCAAGCGGCCTCTTTTGAGGATTGGCACCTTGGAGATGCTGGACAAGTCAGATGACAAAGACTCCTGGCGCTTCATGAAGGCCCCAAGCTCACAGTTGCCACCCTTGCTCGAGCGGACCACGAGAACCTTGTAGCATGCCCCTCGGCAGATCCAAGCTGGCTCAGCTGTTGCCAAGGGGACAGGAGTGGTGGCATGCAGGGAGACCAGAACCTCCCTAGTGCACTTGAATCGAACAATTTGGCTCTGAAGATGGAACCAGATTGTAGGACTTTCTGACAAGCCATTTTAATTCTGCGAGCCTCATGTGAAGCTTTTACATTGCCGCACCCTGGAAGCCTAAAATGACGGGATTGTTGGTGCGGCGAAGTCGCCCGCAATTTTTTCAAAGTGAACTGAAGCTGGGGTGCAATATGGTGCAATAGCGGAGCCATGTTTCGTACATCCTGTTCATCAAAGCAACTGATTGTCCTGCTCAGCAGAACTTCATAACAGTGGTTTACTGCTTTTTGGAATCACCATATCCCGTGCGTTATTTCATTAGCTTCGCGCGTGTTAAACACGCACCATCCACGTCCGGTTTTGTACAGCAAGGGAAGCTGAGAGAAAGCCATGGAAGAGTACCCACAGCAAAAAAAGAAACAGTTGCCAGAATGCTCCCAAAAAGGCTTAGAAAGGCCAACGAAAAAATTGATGTGATTTGCTCGGCTTTGCTCAATGGCTGCTTGTGGCAGTCTTCTTATGAAAGCCTAAGTTCTTTTCGGTTGTTTGTTCGGAGCAGGTCCCCCGCTTCAAGTGCGAGCAGTCGGGCTGGCGCTGCTTCTCCAGTTGGGGCTCTACTTTTTGGATATGTAGGAGAGTTGAAGGCCATAGTCCATACAAATCGTTGGGATCCACATTAGGATTTTACACGCATGTGTAAGATCAAGAAGGCATTTGATTGGACTTTTGCTTGCAATGCCTTCCAACCTGGCCAGGCTAGTTTGGAAGTTCCGCCAGCATCGTTTGGGCCCAAGAAAGACTAGAATCTTCCTAAAGCTTTGTTGGCTTTGCAGAGGGCGCTCTTTGTGTGCTTCACGCAGATGCTGAACATATATACTGATCCCCCATGGAATATCCCCTATAAAATGGCCGTACTCGAGTACAAAAACCCCCTGTCATTTTATAGGGAGGCTTGCTATAAAATGATGTGTCAACGTGGTAGCTTGTGGCCAGAATTATGTGGGCCGCCATACAGATAGAGGTCTGGCTGTTTTGACATTTGATTTTATAGGAGTGAGGTGGTATGAGCCCGATTTTATAGCAGACCAAGCCTTACAGCTTCTTAGAAGTTGGTTCTTGATCTTATATGAAGAGAGTTGTGGACAAGAAAGCTGAGACTTCATTTTATTGTGGCAGATGTTGGAAGTCAGTTGCATGCAGAATATGTTGGTTTTTTGATTTTATACGCCCGGCCTGCCCGCAAGATGCTTTCAATGATCGAAAAGATGCTTTCAACAAATCCGAGAAGGTTTCATTATATTCAATCAAAATTAGCAATCAAGCGGATTGCTTTGGACATCAGAACAATCAGACGAACGCACAGGGGAAAAAAACCTGCTCATCGCTGATGCTGTCAGATTTTGCAAACCAAATCCCTATAAATTCAAGTCTCAGCCCAGTTGAACCCAAACAACTCACTATAAAATCAATTCCGACCTGGGCAAAATAAAGGTAAATCTACCTCACACCTAGATCATTTTATACGTCTTATTTCTGATTTCGGGCGCCTTAGATGTTGAGACTTGATTTTATAGAGATTTACTGTTTCATGTCGAGTCTTCATTTTATAGTGGAGAGATTGCTTGCTGGATGTTGGGGCAGGCGATTTATGTGTATAAAATCACGCTCCCCAGACCTACTGGTAATTCCAAGGGGGATATATACTGTATATATATATATGGCCTGGATCATTATGGATCCCAAAGTCACCAAGAATCCTGCCTTTTTCAGCTGATATGTGAGAATGAGATAGAATCGAATGTGGATGTTCTTCATGCTTTTTCCAGGCTTGACTTCCATGGAGTAGGCCATGCCGATTGTTGCAACAGCCGGTTAGACGAGTGACCTCAAGCCTGCTGAAGCGCACACTAAGGTGTGGCAAGGCCTGCTTTTGCCAGTTTTCTCTTGGAGCCGCAACAGATTGGCTTACGATGGCGTAGACTGCTTGTTCCTTTTGGGCGGCCATTCTTTTCGCTGCCAGGTGGCTTGCCGAGGCGAAGTTGGGAATGGAAGTCTCACGCACGCACCATCACACCACATGTTAGAAGAGGTATGATATAGGCACGGTTTGCATTAGTGACTAGTGTTCCGGGGCCGGTCGAGGTCCATCATTTGGAATCGAGAACTTGCAAACACGGAAGTCGACAAGAAGATGGTGCATGCTTTGGCAGGTCCTTGGCTCAAGATAGGTAGCCAAGGCAATATCCAGCATGGGCAGCGGGGCAAGCAAGAAGGCCGCCGCGGTGGAGGCTGTGGAAAACTCGCAGCACCAGCCGGTACAGAAAAAAGGAAGCCAAGGAGCAATCCAACCTTGAAGGAAAGTTTGAGGTTGGATCATCAAGCTCAAGCGTACCTGTGAAACAGGTGAAACAGCATAGCCCCCTTTTACAAGCAAAGGTTGAAAATGAAGATGTGGAGGAAGCTATGGCTGCGGCCATTCTGGCCCCAGCCAGCCCTGTGCAAGCCGAAGTCAAGGAGGAGGCAAGGCTCGCTCCTGAGGAGCTGCCATTGGCCTGTCGAGCTGGCAACATTGAGTTTGTAAGGGCATTCCTCCAGGAGCACCCAGATGGTTTAGAAAATCATCTTGAGGCTTTGTGACTTGCCTTTGCTTGGTGATCGCGTTTTGGGCCTGAGTGCAGGGTTCTTTTTTAAGAGGGGTCGTCAAATCACATCTTCCGCAGATTTGCACATCTCTCTTCTTTTACTTCTCTCTCTCTCTCTCTCTCTCTATCTCTCTTATGTTTGTCTCTCCCTCTCTCTAGGTGGGGGCTGGGGCGAACCTTTGACGGGGATCGTGTGAAACTGCCATCGAAGAAGAAGGTGTGTGTTGCCAAAGAGCGAAACTGTCAGAAAAAATGAAGGTGTACATCACAAAAGTGTGACACCGCTGTCGAACATGAAGGCGCGTGTGCGGCAAGAGAGCCTGAGCGAAGGGTTCTTCGCAAAGAGGGGTCCTCTAGTCACTTCTTCAGCTTGGCACGCGCCTCGTTTTGGAACGCGAATCCAGCTCCTTTCGGAACGCGGATTTGGATCGTTTTGGAACGCGGTTCCCGGTTGGTTTCTGGCAAGCGGTTTCTGGGAAGTGGTTTCTGGCGAGTGGTTTCTGGCGAGTGGTTTCTGGGAAGTGGTTTCTGGCAAGCGGTTTCTGGGAAGTGGTTTCTGGGGAGTGGTTTCTGGCGAGTGGTTTCTGGCGAGTGGTTTCTGGGAAGCGGTTTCTGGGAAGTGGTTTCTGGGAAGTGGTTTCTGCGGAGTGGTTTCTGGGGAGTTGTTTCTGGGGAGTTGTTTCTGGCGAGTGGTTTCTGGGAAGTGGTTTCTGGGAAGCGGCTTCTGGGGAGCGGTTTCTGGGGAGTGGTTTCTGGAAAGTGGTTTATGGGGAGGCAAAACCAAAACAGATCCTAAAGACGTGAAGCCCTAAGTCAAAGCCAAAGACATCCTGACGCTAAGCCAAACCAAAAGACACCCTAAAGAAGTGAAGCCCTCAGTCAAACCCAAAGAGATCCTAACGAAGCAAAGCCCAAGCAAAAACAAAAGAAGCCCCAAAGAAGTGAATCCCTAAGTCAAACCCAAAGAGACCCTGAAGAAGCCTGATGGCTCCGCTGCCAGATTGGTGATTTTTGTGGAAAAAGGGCCGAAGTATGCTGCCTTGGGCTAGTTGTAACCGGTCTGTGTTCCAAAATGATCCGCCAAATGCTGGAAGACTACAGATCCGCTGACTTTTGATGGCAAAGTATGCTTGTTTGGGCTAGTTGTAATCGGTCTGTGTCCCAAAATGACCCGCAAAATGCTAAAAGACTACAGTTTTGGAGACGCGTGCCCCCAGCTTCACATCTCACATCTCACATACACATACAGTCATTAATTGTGCAAACTATATAAAGCGGGCCCAGCCGGGGTGACGAGGTGGACTTTGAAATTAACGGGGTGAATTAACTGAATGTTGTTTTTCCGGGTACTTTGTTTGGTTGAGTATCGAGGTGTAGGACAACCCAAAAAAAAATTGTCGGGCTCCGATTTTTTTGCCGTGACTTCAAAGTCTTTCCTTTGGCGGTCGGTTCAACCAGAGTTTGAAAGGAGCCGCTTGGCCCAGCAATCTTCGAAGTCTTTCCTTTTGCAGACAGTTTAACAAGAGCGTGGAAGGAGTGGCTTGGCCCAGCAGCCTTCAAAGTCTTTCCTTCGGCGATGAACATGTGGTTTTGGGTGTCTAGGGAACATCGATGCTCTTCTGGTGAAAAAACTTTTCGGGCTCCGAAAAGTATGTTATTCCAATGTTGCTTTGGTACTGAAACTCGGAACAGACGTCCCAAACTGTGTAAGAAACCAAAAACCATGGCCCTTGCGTGGCGAATGTGTACCTCTGAACGCAAAAGAAGAAACTTTTCGGGCTCCAAAAAGTTTTTTCCCGCACCCCGCCACCGAGAAACGCGGGCACCCCCTCACCACGCACCAAGGAACCGCACCCCCTCAATAGGGGGTCCAAGGAACATCCAAGAGACACGCCAAGCAACCGCACCCCGCCACCGGGGATCCAAGGCACGAACCAAGGAAAGATTCTATGTTATCTGAACCCAAAAGGCGGAAGGATTGACCCTCCGATGGAAAGAAGAAATAAGTCGAGCTGACCGGGCCCACTAATTCGAAACAGAATTATCGGGGCGAGGTAGCGAAAATAATTCTAGGAATTAACGACGGAGCAGCGGGGTGAGAGTTGATATAACTTGCCCAGAATTATTACATCTGTAGATGCACATGTTCTCTCTTCTTTTACTGCTCCAGACTCCACACGGTGTGGCGAAGTTACGTTTGTGATGTCGCTGTGCACGCGGTTTTGCGAGGCCTCTGTGGAAAGTGGGTTTGCGTGGCTTTGTCCCGTTGGGGTACGGGACACATGCGTGCATGAACGTGGGTGGCTGATGAGCGCGATGGGTGGTGGGGTGAACAGGGCATGTTGTAAAATTGTTGCACCTAGCATGTGGCACGGAGTTCTTTGGAACGCACTCAGCGCCTGCAGCGCACGTCGCACGTGGCAGGGCAACAATAAGTTTGCTGACTAGTTCGTTTTTTCTTCCTGCCTTCTGGTTTTCCAGTTGCCCTGTATCTGCCCACCTCTTATGTTTGAGCTGTAGCTGGTTGTTTTGCCTTTCGTGGGGATGTTGGTTTGTACCTATGAGTAAGCTCCTTTTTCACCCCATGGCAAGGCTTGCCCTGTGTCGGCTTGCGGCGCGCCACACATCCAGGTGTTCTTGTGCGGCGTAAAGCTATGCAGGTTTTCTTTTTACCCATGTGAAGAAAGCCCCTGGGAGGGTTACGTCTTTGTGGTCAGAAGCTTGTGAGCCGGAATCGGGTTTCGTTTGCGGTCGTTTGCGGCTTTTCCGTGTCAGCCTTGTGCTGGGCCCAGAACACCTGTGGCCGCTGTGGCCGGTTTTTTGTTTTTGTGAGTTGTGAGGCTGTGCCAGGTTTTTTTTCCGCCCTGCGCGGGTCCTTTTTCGCCTGGTGTGCGTTTTGGAAAGGCAGAATCACTAGCAGATTTCTTGGCACCTTGTGCAAGTTCTTGGCATGTCTCTCCCAATGTTTTTGGCTGTGCAGGGTCTTTTCCATCCTGTGCAGGTTACGGTCAACCCGAGGGGGTTGTTTCTTGTTTGATTTTTCACTTACACAATGCCTGTACCACCTTCACTTCTGTGGATCACTTGTATGCATGCTCAAATTGCGCAAATGTTCTTATCAACACATATTAACACGCCTTCTTGCTATCATCTCTTTTCGCGTGTGTGTTCCTGGACCCCGTATGAGGGAGGTAGAGCCCGGATATCTCCCACAACGGACTCAGGTTAGATGAGTATGGTGAGTCAGCCCTACACCACGCCACCCATGGAGACCACGTGGAGATCGTGGAGTTGCTCCTGCAACTTGGCCAGGTGCAGGTCGACATCCCGAATGCTCGCAACGAGACGGCTTTGTCGGTGGCATGCCGCAAGGGCCACAGCGCAGTGGCAATGCATTTGCTTAAGGCCATCCCGGCATGATCAAATTTGCAGACCACCTGGATCAAGGTCCATGTTTGATCCGGATCATTTACTGTAGATAAGAAACCATTGAACATGCCAAGCATGGAGGCTCTCACTCACTTCACCAAATTGATGCGCGCGATGGGGTTTGATAACACCCCATATTTTGGAACTTTGGGGTTCGACATGGGGTCGGTCCTGTTACAGCAACCAACCACCTTTCAACGTAAGACCTAAATTCTTATCAGGACCCGATGTTGGGTTAAACTTTAGCGGGAATAATTGCCTAGGGCATGAGGTTCCAGGTCATTTATTTTTTAAAAAATACATATATATATATATATAGCTCGCTGACGCTCACATGAGGGCTTTTGGCCTTTGCTCGCCTTAGCCAAAGGCTAATCTCCTGAAGAGGGTGATGGAGAGAGAGAGAGAGAGAGAGATATATATATATATATGAAGCCTTGCAAGATCTCCTACAGTATCCTATATATATATATATACCTAATGTTTGAGTTTTGGCTGTAGGCACATCTCTCACAATCAAACGGTGTGTTGCCCACCACGCAGGCAGATGCCAATCCAAACCGATGTGCCTCAGATGGTCTCACACCCTTTTTGGCCGCTGTGTTGGGTGGAGCTGCGGATGGGCTTTTGGACGCCTTGCTGGCGTCAAAGGCGGATGTGAATGCACAGGACCATCGTGGAGTCGGAGCTCTTCATTCCTTGGCCCTCAGTGGCAACATGCGCCTCATGAAGTGGCTCTTAGAGCAATCGGCGGAGCTAGATCTGCAAACCGAACATGGCACCACTGCACTCATGCTTGCCACCAAGCGAGGTTCCGAGGAGGGTGTCTCGATGTTGTTGTTGGCTAAGGCCAATCCAAACCTCTCGAACAAAGCAGGCAGCACAGCACTTATGCAGGCGTTCGCATCCAACATGGCTGTGGCCGAGCAACTCATTTGCAATGGGGCCTCAGTTGACATGGT